CGCTATGATATCATGTAAAAGCTTTAGTGACATGCCTGTCCATTTCAGAATTGTCATGCAAACCCAATTAAATGGCTTATCTGCATGTAGCCATTCTTCATTCAGGACAGACTGACTATCCAGGAAAGACAGCTAGTCAACAGCACCCACCTCTTAACTCTTGTGTGACTAAATAGTGAGGTTTAACTGTTACTCTTATAATGTATCCATGGCCTCAAAGTGTGGAGCAAATTTTTACAGTAATGGACCACAAGCAATGAACCCTTGGATTCACAGTCTGAGGATGCTAATCACTAAGCTACATCCAGCATTAGTGACATGCTTTGTACCATTTTTTTTTTTAAATGTTGCATTACTGTTTACATGATAGTATATTACACAAAGTTTTGAAGACACTTAACCCTTTCAAGACAGGTCACGGGTCAAAGGCTATGTCATAGCGTTTGTTGGCTTATAACAATTTTATTGAACTACTATTTCATGAATTTATGTCAATCTTGTTTGGTTGTTTAGCCTTAAAATAGAAAATCAGATCCCTCTTGCCATGCCCACCTGTCACATCCTCTCTTTCACAAATTGCCAATAATTCTCGCTCACAGTTAATACTATATTATTTATAACTAATAGAAAGTCAAAGTTTTAATCTATCAAAAAACTTGTGTTGTTTCTGTACAGAAAATGGTTTATTTCGCTTCCTGTTCATGGGAAACACATCAACAAAGGTAGCTGAATTTTTAATGGCTCTTGTCACATAGTTAGAAAGCCAGAATAACTGTGATAGTTACAGAACATTGTCTGTTTTTTGCATGTCATTATTCCGCAACATAATAATTATTTAGTGCAGTAGTATAAAAAAGTAGGATTAAGTTTCATTGACAGTGGGCAGCAAGTAAAAAAAAGAAAAGAAAAAATGATGACCTAGGTAAGTACTATATTTCTTGTTTTTCATGCATATTCTTTATTTATTATTATAAAAGTAAGTAAAATTAGAAACTTTTTATGTTAGTTAAGGTTAGATTAGGTAAAATAAAGAAAAATAATATTTTATGACGTATGCTTGTGAGCAACTTGCAAGCAGCCCATGCATTACATGATTCGATAGGATAATGTGAGCTACACATTTGTCAAGTGATTTTCAACTTGTGTGGCCAAATTATTAGTTACACACAGTTCAAAGGACAATAAAACAGTAAAATGTAAGTGTAAACATATGTATATTGTTACGAATTTAAAGCTATTTAGGATAAACAAATCGTTTCATGTTACAATTTGAAGTCATTCTAGAAAGAAAAAAAAGAGGGTAATTTAGATTTCATATTTTTCAAATTAACCATCCTCGTATAGAGTAAGGGTAGAGAAAATAACAGACAAAATATAGTCTTACATTTGAACGTTTGAAATTTATTTTGGAAGTTTTTGTACTCTTGAGTAGTCAAAATGTTTGTCTCCATATATTCAAGGAGAAATTTTTATTGAAAAGTTTGTGAAGTTATTAGAATAGCATGGACACTATGAAGGTCAATTTGTGGTCGCGAACTTAGCTGATACCAAATCTAAAACCCATAACTATAATTAAAATTCATTAATGCAGACCAGCACATCCACTGTATGAAGGTACTTCATAGTGTTAGAGTTCACAGACGAGGGAACATCACAGACTGCTCATTACAGCAGCAAATGTTAAACTAAAAACAATGATGTAAAGATATGAATCCCACAAACTTCAGATCCCATGTAGATATGTGTGGGTTTTAAAACCAGCCTGAAGAATGCTTTGGAAAACGATAATAGCAATCAAAACATAAAGGGCAGTGGTGATAATGCCACGATATGAATCTGCTTTAGCTGGTTTGAACGCAACAGACTATTTATTAATAAGTATACCAGAAATACCTCATAACATTCTGTAAGATGTTACATTACTAATACTGATGGATTTCTACGAAGAAAGACCTACTTTGGCATTATAATGTACCATCCCATACAGCATGCCATGCCCAGCTTTGGTCTGAATCAAATAAGGCCCAGTATCCATTTTGATCAGTCTAAATTTCTGGACTGAATCTAATTGAACTTGTATGAAATGCCGAATGAGACAGAATTCACAGAATGAAATCTCAGTAGATTTTCATAGTTTATCTAACCAGGTACATACAAATAGTTAGTAATAGTTAAAGATGTGTGTGGGAATTGCCAAAGGTAACCCCATTCTCTATCAAAATGAAGCCTTAGTAATGTAACATGGCATCTCTCTTATCCAAATGTACATTTGAATACTTTTGGTAATGTCATTTACATATCCATACTCCAAAACTTTACAATACCAAATAAATGCAGAACATAACAAAACGTTTATATATATATATTCCCTGTAATAATTGTCTTCTTTATCATAACTACATAATTAGTTAGAAATTAATTAAAACACTTTCTAAATGCTTACAGTTTTGTTCTATTACCTATTTATATTTAAACAAGAATACTGTACAATATACAATGATCAACTGTAGCTCAAAAACAAAGTTTTGAGATTTGGCCATTGTTTATTTCAAGAACTATTACATGGAGACATTTAGACTGTCAGAAAATGTTTTTCAATTTAGCAGACTTCAAAGAATATATTAATAATTAGAAAGTTCTGACAAGAACTAGGCTGAAATTTTATCAAAGCAACTTGTGTAAAAATTTTTCAATTAAAAGCAACAACAGCATTTGATACGAACAATCAACAAGCCAACAATAAAAGAACATGTATTTTGGCCAATTTACGTTGGCGTTATCAGGTGTAAAACATGTCTGACCAGCAAAAAGTTACGAGGAAGAGGTTTAACTTAGTGTTAACTTTAAGTAATGTTAATGTTTTGGATAAGACGTCAGTATTTCTTTCCAAGGCTGTGCATTAACACCAGCTAACCCTTCACTTCTATTTTAGCAAAGAATTATACAAACAGCAGAAAATTTCTGTTGGTTCTCTAGTATTCAATTTACTTTTATCAAGTAAGCAACTTTTAAGTTCATTAAGATTATAAGTTACATTTGGTTTAATAAACAATTATTAAACAAGCTGAAAAAGGAGAGTACACAGTGGTGTTAAACAAATGTAACCACATTTCTAGAGTAAACCGTTAAATGATGCTACATACGTTTCTCTTAAAAACGATCCCACAACAGACGGTTCATACGTTTCTCTTAAAAATGATCCCACAACAGACGGTTCATACGTTTCTCTTAAAAATGATCCCACAACAGACGGTACATACGTTTCTCTTAAAAATGATCCCACAACAGACGGTACATACTTTTTAAGAGAAAAGTATGAACCTTCTGTTGTGGGATTGTTTTTAAAAGAAACGTATGAACCGTCTGTTGCGGGATCGTTTTTAAGGGAAACGTATGAACCGTCTGTTGCGGGATCATTTTTAAGAGAAACTGATCCCACAACAGACGGTTCATACGTTTCTCTTAAAAACGATCCCACAACAAAGTTTTCTAATTTGATAAAAAAAAACACGTTAATGACTGTACAACACAAAAATAACTTGTACTAATCACATTCTTCATCAATAACATGTTGTCTGGTACCAGTCTCTCACAGAGAACCAACCATTTGGTTGACGTGTAACACCTCCTCTGTTATTTATTTTGGGTGAATTAACTACACTCTCCCTAGGTCTAATTTTTTCACCTTTAATAGCTGATTTCAAGATAAGGAACTCGTACAGCTGGCACAAGATAAGCCAAGTCCTAAATTTAGTGTTTCGTTTATAATGAGTTTATTTAAAAAAAAGAAAAATATATTTCTTGCATAATATCTATTCATTTATTTTTTTTACTGTTTGGTCTAATTTGTAATTAGAATTACAGTAATCTATCCAGCCATTATAAAGACCCTTATACAGCCCAAGAACTCCAGTACAGTGACCCAATACATTTACAGATAAGTGTAGGAAAAGCATAGTTATAAATCTTCTTACACATAGAAAAATCCAACATATCTTATGCTATTAAATTGATATGAACTACAAGAATTAAGTACCTGTGCCTGGAGACATTTTCAAGGATGGTGCTTTGAGCTGTCTTTCATTTCCGAAAGAACTCGGTTTGAAATTTGGAAAAAGCAGCAAAGCAAATGACAGCAACAAAACCTATAAAAAAAAATAAATCAAAGTCACACCTGTCTTAACATCTTATTTTTAGCTACTTGCAAGATACCATTTATATTTTTTAGAGCAATTACTTGATAAATTTGCAAAGTAATTAAAATTCAGTACCAAATTACACAACTATTTTTATAACACAAGAAATAAAATTTATTTCTTTTACAATAATGCATAAGGAGGTTAGAAACAAGCTAATTCAAACGTTAAATAACTTACCTTTCAAATTCTACTAACACAATGAGCGAACGCACGTTATTTTTTAAAAATATATTGAATATGACAAATAATAAAATCACACAAATATAATTATCTTAATAATTAATTATAAAGATATCAGCTAAAAAAGAAACTACAACCCACATTTTGTTAGTTGGTGTTTTTTTTAATTATAACTAGAATATCAAAGATGCTAGAATGAAGAGTTACTACTGTACATAACAGAAATGTAATGGAAATAGTAAGATTCAGTAAACAAGAGTGAAAGAAAAAACTTCAGGCTTACAGCGACACAGGTGCTCGTTTGTGCAGGTTTTGAGGAACTGCTAGAGACTAACATTTGCAGCCGTTTTAGTTGGTTTAGCAAAGACCTGTACAAGAAGATAAATTATCATTTAGACTACCATGATCGTGAAAAAGACATATTTTTAACTTTCTAACAAAACCATATTAAAGACTATCCATTGGGCTAAAACATCTAAAAAACATGAAAAATACAGCTGCAAAATATTTTATCCTAAATTTTTTTTTAATGGGTTAAATCTTATCCTCTACCATAAAATTGTTTAAAACAAGATGTACTTTTGCAGGATCCTTGAAAGTGTTCAGTTTCAAGAGTAAATAAAATCGAAATCAAGAAGTACTTTTATTTTTTGTTTTTGAAGTTCATACGTCATATAGTGCTGTAGCCTACAGAGTGCATAATTCTTCTCATGATTTATGGCATACATGTTTTATTGATATCATTTTAGTGTCCACTCACTGACTGACAGAAAACATATTACTGTATAGTGGTGCAAGTGCTTAAAACAGAGTGCATGTTTTATTGATATCATTTTAGTGTCTACTGACTGACTGACAGACAACACAATACTGTATAGTGGTGCAAGTGTTTAAAACAGGTGACCCCCTCTAGGCAGCCTTTGGCATTGTAGCCTACAGAGTACATAATTCTTCTCATGATTCATGGCATGCATATTTTACTGATATCATTTTAGTGTCTACTGACTGACAGACAACATTACTGTATAATGGCACAAGCGGTTAAAACAGGTGATCCCTCCAGGCAGCCTTTGGTCCCCCTTTTCACGAAAATAATAAAAACAGAAGTAAAAAAATAACTGGTAATTTCTGAGATATATACTAATTGTTAGCTCACTTTTTGGTGTATTCTTGCTTTGCTTCAATCAAACGAATAATGCCAACAAAAATTTCATATTTTAACCCTTTATACCCACTGACCGAGAAATTCAGATTTACTCCACAGTTACCAAAAAAAAGTTTCCCTCTACTGCAACATGCAGGAATATCCCCCTGTACTAGAAAGAATCACCAAACCAGCATGTGTGCTGCCATCTGTGTTCTATGCATGAAACCTGGATGTTTATATGCCTTATTACAAAATTACCAAATTTGCAGACAGCATCTTTATATCTTGGATATTGTTATCTAAATAATTTGTTGTATATTTTGTAATAACTTTGGATTCTTATTAACTTAGTTTTACATATATTTATGCCAGTTACTGGATCTAATTTTCCTCAATTGTTTGTTTAAATCATTATTTTTCACTATCCAATACATTTTTCAAGGAATATTACTGTCAGATATAGAAAATATAGCTTCTAACAATACTGAAAAAGTAATACAAAGGGTCAAATTAATACTTTTATTTGTTGGTGGACAATTGACACTTGTAGTGAAAGGGTTAAATGTTAGAGCTTTCTTCTTTAATAAATGGAAGCTGAATTATTGTGAATCTTAAAAAAATTATTATTAGTATTATAACTTGCATCCTAAAAATTCTTAGCTTCAACAGCACACTAGCAGATTTTCACACTTGTTTAGAGGTACCCACGACTTACTTGTACTTTTAAAATTAAGGTTTCAAATGGGGTAACAAAGACGCACAATGGTAATAAAACAGTTTTTATACAGGGAGACACGACCACGTCTTAAGAGAGAAAACAGCATATGTATATCATAGAACAATGCTTCCTACCAACTAAACCTATTAACTACTACTGTTGGTAGTTTGTATTGTTTTTGCATTATCATAAAAAAAGCAAAATAAGATAAAGAGTTTTTCAGTGAATACTTTAACCTGCTTTTCAGTATAGGTGTTATGTATTAAAATTGATAAACAAGTTTGTCAGCACCAAATTCACATAACACAATGTCACTTAGCTGTCACAAACATCTGTACTGAAAACATTTAAGGTTACTTATGATTTCTTAGTTTCGAAACAATAAATCAGGAAATTTAATAATATTTGAACAACAAGGTTCTAATTTTGTGGATGTACAGAACTTTTCTGGGTGTGTGTGGGAGGGTCTTGATTTGGTTAGTATGATACTGAAATACACAAATCTCTTCTATATCACGTTTTAGAAATCGTGTGACAAGGTTTAAGATTTTTCAAAGAAATGAGCAACACTTCAAACTCACATGTTCTGTTTTTGTAAGATAGTGACTTTCTTCTGGAGCTCCACATTTTGTGCTGTACATACCTTTACTCTAGAAATAGAAGTAACAACAGAGATAACTTAATTTACACAACAGTGCAAACACCACAGTACCATTTTGAGTGTAATGTGAAAATATGGCTATTCTACGGTAGCATGTCAAAGGTACAGCCGAGGATAAAATCATCTAGAGCGGTGGTATTCAAGCTTTTTTATGGTGACTCCCTCTTTTGAAATATGTATTTTGTTATGCTACCCTGTAATACTTATTTGTGTATGTCATTTTCCCATGTTAATTGCTGTTATTCAGCAGATATCAGATAAATAAATCTAGATAGTTATTCAGCAGATATCAGATAAATAAATCTAGACGGTTATTCAGCAGATGTACGATAAATAAATCTAGACGGTTATCAGCAGATATACGATAAATAAATCTAGATGGTTATTCAGCAGATATACGATAAATAAATCTAGACTGTTATTCAGCAGATATCTGATAAATAAATCTAAACGGTTATTCAGCAGATGTATGATAAATAAATCTAGATGGTTATTCAGCAGATATCTGATAAATAAATCTAGATGGTTATTCAGCAGATGTCTAGATTTATTTATCGTATATCTGCTGAATAACCTTCTACATTTATTTATCGTAAATCTGCTGAATAACCTTCTAGATTTATTTATCGTATATCTGCTGATTAACCGTCTAGATTTATTTATTGTAAATCTGCTGAATAACCTTCTAGATTTATTTATTGTAAATCTGCTGAATAACCGTCTAGATTTATTTATCTGATATCTGCTGAATAACCATCTAGATGTATTTATCATACATCTGCTGAATAACCATCTAGATTTATTTATCAGATATCTGCTGAATAACAGTCTAGATTTATTTATCTGATTTCTGCTGAATAACAGTCTAGATTTATTTATCTGATATCTGCTGAATAACAGTCTAGATTTATTTATCGTAAATCTGCTGAATAACCATCTAAACTTATTTATCGTAAATCTGCTGAATAACCGTCTAGATTTATTTATCTGATATCTGCTGAATAACCATCTAGATTTATTTATCGTAAATCTGCTGAATAACCATCTAAACTTGTTTATCGTAAATCTGCTGAATAACCTTCTAGATTTATTTATCGTATATCTGCTGAATAACCGTCTAGATTTATTTATCTGATATCTGCTGAATAACCATCTAGATTTATTTATCGTAAATCTGCTGAATAACCATCTAGATTTATTTATCGTTTCTATTCTGTATGAGCGTGTCTATAGCCAAAAATATATACAGATTAAACACTGATAAAAGTGACATAGCATATCAAAAACTGTATAATTTTACTTATATACTCTGTTTATATTGCATCTTTTGTAATTATTTATATCCTATTTTTATTTTACACTAATCTTTAAAGTAGGGTACTCTTTGACAGGAATCCTAATAAAATCCCTATAATTTTTATTTTCCTTTAAAAATCCCTGTATCTTTGGAATCTAATTTGTTCTCAGATTAGGTTGCAGATATCTGCTGAATAACCTAATGAAAGTACCTTTAATACCACAACTACATAACATCCGAGGATGGTAAAGTATTACATATCTTCTCATACTTTCAATACCCACCTTTTTTCTAAGCCATCCACGTACTCTTTCTTTCTCTTCCTACTATCTTGAGCTGATTGCTAAGAAAATATATAAAGACTGCTGTTAATATTAAACTAACTTTTCGTCACTATTTTCATATTAAACTAACTTTTCTTCACTATTTTCATATACTTTTAAATAATAAATTTTTTAAATTCCATATCACTGCATCATTGATGTATCTTCTAGTCTAAATATTTCAAAAATAGATTTTAACGAACGTTTTGAGCACACCTTACAAATTTGAAACATTTCACTAAGCTTCATCATCATCATCATCATAGACAGCAGTACATCGATAATTCTACCGATGCTTAGCTGCCACACAATCATGCCACACTAAGCTTAACCAAGTTATCAAAGGGTTCACGATTATGTTGGATCGAACAAACGAACACCCATTCAATGTTGTTTTTCGTACTTTTTGTCAAATCTTTTCTGTTTATCTAAGCGAGATCTTTGCATCTTACTTTTAAAATTTTATATGATCAAAGGTATTCACTCATAAAACTAATTTTTTAATACTTGGTTCACAATTTGGTTTAATACACGTGTAAGAAACATATTTGGTAATAATATTAATTTACAGCTAGACAAAAAAAATAATTTTCTTTCACACGAAACATGTATACGATACGGATGTGTACAAATAAATATAATTTTATCCTCCCCCCCCCCCAAGTTTACTGTTTACTTTTTAAAGTCTTACCTTATTACGAATTTTTCTCCTTATTCGTTTTAAATCCCTTTCTTCAGCCTAAAAGTAAGTACTTTCTATTAGCATGTTTTCAAAACTGGAATGTAATAAACAAAACAATGTTTAAATTGTACGGTATATGCATGTGTAACTTTCACACTGATACATTACGAAGTTGAAAATTAGAAATAAACTTTCACATGTACAAGTGCAGAAATTGTTTTACCAAAAGTTGTATTCTATTTTTCTCGTGCATGTTTTACAGGACAGTAAAAGGGTAAGTACATTGATAAAAAAAGACAAGTGGATTGTTCTACCATTTTATCCTCTGGATAAGAAGATTTTTTCAAAAATTCCACATCCCTGTTGAGTGTACACTAATGATGATAATGTAATATTAAACCTTGCAAGGTGAGCTGGTAATTAATTAACACTGTTGTATGATAAGTTGATGATTTTCTTACCTTAGTAAGAGGAAGATGAGTTGGTATTGTGATACCTTCTTTCTTCAGTAAACGTTTTTCTTCAGCAGTAAGTTCCAGATTCTTTAGAGAAAACACAGAAAAACTAATGTACAACTCACTTACTTTAAAATAATAGCTACAAGTCAAGTTTCCATAAATCAAAAAGTAAAACAATAAGAATTTAGCATATAAGCATAAATTCAACTATAAAATATACTTGGACAAAAAGTTCTTTTAGTCATAAAGACTGCACATAAAAATGTTAAATTTAATACTTTTAACTCTCAGTATATGGATTTGATGATTTTGACCAACCTTGTAACAATGAAACTATACCCACTATAACTCTGAATGCACTAAGTGTATCTTAATAAAATTTGGCAAGCTTTTAGTAAACATTTGTCTCTGAACTAACAAAGCCATTACCGAAGCATAGACTGCTTCAGTAATGGCTTTGTTAGACAGTGAAAGGTGATTTTCATGCTAAGAATAAAGATACTTATTTTCATGTATGCTTTTCAAATTTCACTTTCTTAACCTCTAAAACCTTCTAAATGAATATCAAAAGTTTTTCAGTAAAAATTTATGGCTTATATTTTACTTAAACTATCATACATTCTATGGAATTGACTGTCACTCTTAAAATGAACCCACCCCTTAAAGTGTGGAAAATAATTTATGATAACTTCAGTCCTAGTAATTATTGTTTATCTAAACATGCACATTTATCATTAAGCTTTACAAAGCCATTTAGTATACATTTATAGTTATTTTAGTATTTATGGAGCATTACATGTTATTCAGAGTATTTTCAGTCAAGTTAACTAACTCGTAATGCTAGTTTTCAAGCTGAAGATGAATGCCATTATACATGTTATCACACTCAAATGATTTCACAAGTTCATAAACATCTAACCTAAAATTGAAAATTATAAATATTTTGAGAAATGGATTTAACTATTACGAAACTTATTTCTACAAAATAACTCATAATTTAAATAAATTGACTTGGTTGATTAAATATAAAGTTAATAGTCTAAAACTTCTGTTTTTTAAGTTAATTTGACTCAACTTTGAAATAAAACCTGGTCAAACTTTTAAAAAAAACTTTGTTTAGTGAAAGTTTATGATTAAAAGGCAGGAAATATATATATATATATATATATATAT